CCAAACAAAGTAGTTTCGCTTTCACAACGAAGCACACAGCGTCTTTACGACATGGCGGCGGCAACAACAAAACTGCAGCAAGAATAAAAGTCACGCCTTCTTTCTTTGCATGAACATTTGGGCGGCGTTATGCAAATCTTCCCACATAGCGACGTAGATATGTGGGGCCGTGTTAGAACGAGCCGTTTTAGGTAGGCGTGGCTGACTCTTAACTTTTATAAAGAATATCTCTTTGGATTTGAGACTTTAGTCTTTGCAACTTTACAGATCTTCTTTATGCACCAAGAGCTTGTAACACTCCAAAGAGAAAGGAAAAATTGAAATCGCATCATATGACCCCTTTAAGCAAATCAAGCATTTTCAGGCTGGTTCAGTTCATGTTTGTTCTAGATGAATCTAACACTATCAAAGAGGCAATTGGCTCTTTTAACTGAAAGGCGAGACTTTCTGTTGCCATGTTGAGCATTAGATAATTTATTGTTCTGGTCTGGCTACTGACACTTATACTGTTTTTGTCCTAGTCCAGGATAATTCCACTGCTCTCCTGTGCAAAAATGCTTGAATTACAATTATCATAGAATTTTACAGACGTGTTCAAATCTATTGACTGATATGAGAACCATGCAACTCATCAATCAGAGTCTTCATTAACTTCTACTAGCAGGCAACAAAAGCCTTGAGCTAACCCTTTCTTAACTAGGCTCAACACAATAAAGTGACTTTCAAATCAACAAAACATCAAATCCCTTTCATGTTCGGCCATACATGTGTCATGTCATGCTGCTTGGCTCCACACGCACTGATGCCTCATTGGCCCAAAATCTTGCTCCACATAGCTTCATATTAGAAAGGAAATATGTTCTGATTCAGGTTATGATACCATTTAACACTAGTCAGATATTGCTTTTGGCAGGATGGAACCCATTAACAAAATGTGTATGTCAAGGGCATTTATAAAAACTGACAACAAACATAGCACAAATGAAATAGTAGACTTACGTCAACAATGAAGAAGTCCAGCCAGCACCAGGCGTTGGTGAAGTACTTCACAAAACCGTAGGCCACCCACTTCAATAACATCTCCAATATGAAGATGTAGGTAAAGACCTTGTCAGCATACTCCAGAATGATACGGATTGTCTTTCTCTGTTCAATGTACACATCCTCAAAAGCCTGCAGCGGATTACATATGGTTGCATCAACACAACAAGTACTATCCGCTGCTGACAATACCTCTCAGTGGGTTTCATTTCAATTCAAAAACTAAAGAAGAGTATGCTGTAATATTTCAGTTTAAATATAAAAACACAGATTAATAATAATAATAATAATAATAGTGATATTATTATTATTATTATCATTGCACAACAATATCTGGGGAAACAACTGAACAGAAGGCTACTTCTTGGTGCAATAATTAAGTTAAAAACAGAGTCAGCTTTCAAAAAGCAATTGTATAAGGCAAGATCCCTGATTCTATTACATTCCTTTTTTGGCAACATTAGCAGTGCTAAAGCCAGGGACATTTCCAGTGCCAGAAATAGATCCAACTGGATGAATAGTCCAGTCCATTAATCACATCACCCAGCAGTGCAGCTCTGGCGCCAGGCCTCTACAATGAGGCAATGCCTGCTTGAACCTCACATTATATATACCTCACATGAACATTAATGCAATGATCAGGCAGAATCCAAAACATAATGAAAATAATTTGCCACCGATGTACTATTTATTTTTTTATTTTAAGTACAAAAAACAAGCATGTTTTTAATATTAGAACTACGGGTGTAACCAGGGCCTAAAACTAACTTTTTGCCAGCCCTGCCAAGCATGTTTTTAATATTAGAACTACGGGTGTAACCAGGGCCTAAAACTAACTTTTTGCCAGACCTGCCAATGACCGGTGACTTAAGGAAATTTACCGGCCAGAAATATTTTTTACCAGCCACGGAAAAAAAAACACAGGCGGTTATGACACCAAAATTTTACCTGATTTACCTGATAAAACTACTAACTTAAACAATATACATTTAATAGGCTATATTTTTAAAGATTAGTAAATAGTCAGTTGTAAAATAAGAGCAAATCAAATTACAAGCAATAGCACAAAATAGCCTACTATACAACAAAGATAGAAATAGAAACTGTGTATTTCAGGCAGGTCTAACAGTGATTTTCAGGTAGCGAACAGAAATTTAATAAATTATGCTAATCAAATAACACTATAGTCTTTATATATTTTTTAAAGTTCAAGAGTAGTGAGTGACTGTTTTTTTCTTTGTCCTATTTTCTTTGATCAACATTAAAAAACGCACAACAGCAGGATTATTGGAATTCTGTGTCGATCACTTTAACACCGTATCTACACTGCAGCAGCTTGAAGTAGTCAACACCGTGGCCGTTACTTGGACTAGAAATAGAACGGGGAATCCGTTTACTTTCGGGGATTTGTCGTGCTGTGCCGCATCCTGTGTAGACAATATCACTGATTATAATGGCTTCTATTGTCTTTTGACATTGCGTCGCGAACGGTTTGTGTCTGGTTTCTTTCTCAGCTGTTCATGTTCACTTAAGAACCAACTACATTTACTAGGATACTCACTGAGATGGGCATTTCTGATTTCAGACCACGGCATGTACAGAGAGTACCACGATACGTATCGTGGTTTTTCGGTTTGGTTTGAATATCATTACACCCCTAATTAGAACACCACATGTTAGAATCCCAAACTACAGTAAGCTACAGTAAATCAATATGCAATATTTAAGTAGCTTTTTTTCCTTCTCAAGTAGTTAAATATAGAACACAGTACTTGTGTACGTCCCTAGAAGAAATTTGTGTGTTTGTGTACATTCTCACCAATGCTCCACTACTGAGGAGGATCATAAAGATGATGATGGTTTCAAACCAGTTGTGCTCCACAATGAGATAGCAGGTCTTCCGGAGGAACCACCAATTCTTACCCCAGCCCTCCGTGATGGGCACATCACAACACTTGTAGCGGGCCACACAAGCTGCAAAATGGCACACATTATACTTCTGTTCTCACAATCCATTACAGTTTCTATATAAAAAAAATTTACATCTGCAAAGAGAAATCTATGAGCCCTTTTACCTTCAGTCCAGCAAGCTTCAGGGTCAACATATTCCTCTACTGCCTCCACCACCACCGCTTCCTCTACCTCTGGTTTAATATCTATAGTGCTGCCTTCTGAAGAGCTGATGTCATCCAACTAATTCAGAAGTGAGAGGTCACAAGTGTCATTTCTTGATGTTAAAAAATTAAAATAGCAAAGCAAAAACAATGTTCAACGCAAAAATTGTAACTGCACTATTAAAACACAAACTCAGGATGCTCAAACAGAACAATAAATAGCACGAGTTTAGTACTGGACTATATGTTTGCCAGACCAATGGCAGACAAGAAAAGGAGTTTGTAAACCAGTTTGAACCTCATCACTATTTTTGCAATTCTGTTTTGCTTTGCTATGACACACTCTAGCTCTAAAAATGAAATGACAAGCCTCTGTATTCATGTTTCACAATACAGTGCTCTAAATGGCCTACACACGTTTGAACATCATTTTAAAACAATACACTGCACTTTACTTCATATATATCAATATCATGGTCAAAAATTAACAAATACCTCAGTTTAGAATGAGCATTTACTCCTAAGGCCAAATCAATAACCACAGGGTATTACATTTCACCCATTAGCAACTAGGTCAAAGCCTAAAAGCATCACAGCATCAGCTCTTCTGCATACTCACTTCTTTGCTGCCCTCAGCTTCAGACTCGCTACTGAAATCTTCTGTGTTGAGATTCTCAAAGTCTGACTCGCCCACGGCGATGGGCACGCATACGGTCAGGTTGGGGTTGTGGATGAAGGACATGTGGTCGTCATCAATCATGTACTTGCCCACGCTACTGCCAATACCACTGGTGGTTCCGTTGCCATTTTTCTGATAGTCCAGGTCACGGCTGATGTCCACGCCTGTGTGATTGGCAATACAGTTCAGCTTCCGGTCGTACATGTCATCTAGCGGCTTGGCCTCATCTGTGGCCTTCCTCCCGAGGATGTTGTTGACCAGTTCTCGAACTTTGACCTTCACCCAGGCAATTCCCTTCTTAATGCGAATAACTGAAATCTGCAGGTTGTTCATCTCACCATCATCATCAGAAGCTGCCAAGTTGTCTGCGCTGAATGAGCTCAGCAGCAAGGCAAGGAACAGATTCAAGACCTGATCAGTGTGAGAGAAAAGTAATATAAACTTAGTCTCAAATTAAAATCAGTTCAAAACCTAGTCAGCTGCCTTTGGAGACATTTAATGCATCATTTACATAGGCACAATTTTTAAAGTGATGGTTCACCCCAAAAAAAAAATGTTCATCATTTATTCACCTTCATGTGTTCTCAAACCCAAAAGACCTCAAATTAAAAAGTTAATTTTAGTTATTTTAACCAAAGCTTGAAAGAACCAACAAGGTTATAAAGTCATCATAAAGAGAATCCTTCAAAAAGGAAATTCTGTCAAAGTCTGTGTATGTGTGTTTAAATGTGAATTAAAGCCTAAATTAAATACTAATTATATAAAGCGATCGTATCTCTTAACATGACTTAGATTAAACTACTCGATTCATATGGATTAATATAACCCACCTTTATAACCTTTTTGGATCTTTTAAGTTTTGGTTACCTGGACTTTCAATAGAGGGATAGAAACCTCTAAGGTTTCAATAAAAATTATGTTGTCTTATGGGGTTTGATTCAACAAGAAGGTTAGTAAATAATGACAAAATTTTGGGTAATTTTTGGATTAACTATCCTTTTAATATATTGAATTGTAATCAGTGTGAGAGAAAAGTAATATAACTTAGCCTCAAATTATCAAGACAGCTGCTTTTGGAGGCATTTTATGCATCATATACTCAGGCATACTGATACAATTTTTATTTTTAAAGTGATAGTTCACCCAAAAATTTAAACTCTGTCATCATTTACTCACTTTCACGTGGTCCCAAACCCAAAAGATTTCAAATTAATATATTTTTTTATGAAACCTGAGAGATTCCTCCCTCCATTGAAAGTTCAAGTAACCAAAGCTTAAAAGACCCCAAAAGGTTATAAAGGCATCATAAAGAGAATTTCATTTTAATCTAAGGGGTGTTTTTTTGCTTTTATTTGGTTCATCTTAGGTCAGACAGAATAACGCAAATATAATAATGTAATATAAATAATATAGATACACACATCTACAGTACATATAACATGCAACCATACATTAATTCAGATGAAGAGAAAGAAAACACCAGGCAAGCATAAAGGTGTGTTTTAATGTGTATGTTTCAATGTATTTGTGTTTAATTGTGAATAAAAGCCTAAACTGAATGTTAATCATATGAAGCGATTGTATCTCTTCACTTGACTTGGATTAAACTGTTCGATTCATTTGGATTAATATAACCCACTTTTATAACCTTTTTGGATCTTTTAAGCTTTGGTTACCTGAACTTTCAACAGATGGATAGAAACCTAAATCTTGAGTTTATCTCCATTTCAGCAGTTTTCAGTACAACTTAGCTCAAATTCCATGACAAAAATGCATTTTCTGCATCTAAAGAACACTTACCACCAAGTTTCCTATGACCATGACCATCATGAAGACGATGAGACACATTCCCTGTCCAGCCACCTCCATACAGTCCCACATGGTCTCAATCCACTCTCCACATAACACCCGGAACACGATTAAGAATGAGTGAAAGAAGTCATTCATGTGCCAGCGGGGCAGCTCACAATCTTCAGCGATCTTACACACACAGTCCTTGTAGCTCTTCCCAAACAACTGCATGCCCACCACGGCGAAGATGAAGACGATGATGGCCAACACCAGGGTCAGGTTCCCCAAAGCTCCCACTGAGTTACCGATGATCTTTATCAGCATGTTGAGGGTGGGCCATGACTTAGCCAGTTTAAAAACTCTCAGCTGTTAAAAGGGAGCACAAGTAGAATTAAAACATGAACATTCAGTACCATGAACATTCAATATTATTCTTCGAATGTGTGCTATTGAAAACAAAAAAAAGAGTTATGCCACTTATTATGTCTTATACACTAACCACCCACAATCCAGTTTAACCAGACTCTGAATGCTTTAAAATAATTTTGCTGTATTAAAATAAAATAACGGTCATTCTTTTCAAACACACCTCCTTTCTATGTAAATTAAGTTTATTATACTCACGATCTGCCTGATGCAATTAACGTTGTGCTATTACCGCCCGCAGAAAGAAGGTGCTAAACAGAATTTTATTTGATATCTGTGTTTATGCTTTTTTATTGGTACTGGAAGCAGAAATTAATCAAATGATGACAAAATAATGGAAATGTCATAAATGACATATTGTATATGCATTCATACAGTGCGGTTGACAACACTAAGAGCATGGCACTCAAAATTTGTTTAAATAAGCATTAAAGTTGCAATGTAACGGAAGTAGCAAAAAATATTTTACACTGTATTGTGATGTACATTCGAGTGAAACGGCTTATTCAAAAACAAAAATGTAGGGCAGGGATCAGTTGTTGATTGAATAAAACATACGTATGAATAAAACATATGCACTGATGAATCGTTCACAATAAGATGCAATTAAAAAACAGGGTCATTTTCCATTTCATGCCAACTTTAACCACTGAATTTGTTCCCTGATTCACATTATTTCTTAAACAATGCAATAGCACATGCACACACATCAAAGATCTGAAGCAATAAAAATGTTTACCAATCGGAATGATCTCAGCACAGAAAGACCTTCTACATCGGCCAAGCCCAACTCCATTAAACTCAAGCTCACGATAAAGCCATCAAAAATATTCCAGCCTTCCTGGAAATAGTAGTATGGGTCCATTGCAACCAGTTTGGCAAACATTTCGGCAGTGAAGATACCAGTAAACACCTGGAAGAAAGAAAATAAAAGTCACACAGATTGGTGACAAACATACCACTCTGAGACAGACTTATTTGATTTTTTCCCTCCATAACATTACAAGAAAAATATATCAATATATTTTTGTTGTCATTTCTTTTTCTTTTGTACGTGTACGTATGTGTGTCATTGGTTCTTTCCTTTGTATAAGCTACTATGTAATGTTGCTTTATTGTGTGCTTTGTTCAATAAAAAAAATCTCAATTTAACAAGCCAGACTAATTTATAAAAGCAATCCGATATCAACCAACTGATAAAAGACACATAAGCAGCGCAGTTATGACTTGCATTTTATCTATAACACACCAGCTCTTTCCTGACATTGCATGACACCTAGAAGCAACCAAATCATGGCCTACACATTTACAATAACTCCCTGACAAATTGCCACAAGACTCTGTGACGTTCAAAGTGCTAAACAGATCATCCTGCTGTCACAGCTGAAGGGTGCAGTTAATCACCCTAAAGGTGTGTGAACTGGGGGAGGGTACAAGGTGGCCTCGACTCCAGGAGGTCTGCCGCGTGTCTGCACAGCCAGCGAACACGAGTCACGCTGCCACCTGCACAGCCACAACCTGCTCCGTCCCAGTTTGCCCCCGCTACCGTGACAACAGAGCGCTCACAGGTGTACTGAAGTTGGAATACTTGCATCATCATATTACCATGTCAGCAAAGCTGAAATTTCATTGAGAGGCCTCACTATTGCACGCACATGATTTACTCCACAAGGCAGGTCACGTGACTTAGAAAATCATGATTTGTGGTTGGTGTATGTCACTGCACTGACAGAGTGGATTTATGACTCCTAACGGTCTTGGTATCACTTGGCAATATAATATAAAAAGCAATTTGGTTCATAAGTGGGAAAGATAATCTGTTCTTCTCTGCAATGTTTATAATTTTACAAGCATTAAACATCAAGCTCCTAGAACTGTGAAAACGCCACCATTTTAGAGCTGCTCATCGATTAGGCTACATGAAATATTTATGCTGGCTCTGCACCACCACACTCAGCCAGTAGCTTAGCACGGTCTCTACGCCAGGCATAAAAATGGCTTTGAGTGTTCCAACAACGTCCCTGCAGAGACTACAAAAATATAAGCCGTGGGGGAGGGGCACGGTTTTATCAAGCAACTAAACTAAAGAATTATTTTAATTCAGAATTTTAATTCAAAGACTCTTGGGGGAAAAAAAGAATAAGGTTTTCTGGAGGGGCTAAGTAGAATCCTTACCAGGTTTCCGACAGACAGCACATGCTCAAAATTCTCCGTCATAGGGTAATGCTCCATGGCCATGAAGAGAGTATTCAGCACAATACAAATGGTGATAGACAAGTCTACAAAAGGGTCCATCACAATCAGGTTCACAATCTCCTTAACCCTCATCCAAACAGGGCCGCACTCCCAGATAAGAAACTTGTTGGCAAATTTGTACCAAAATGGTGGACAATTCCTCTGAGACTCTTCCAATTCTGGAAGTGAAAAAAGTATGGTAACCATGGTAACAGATTTCCTCTTATTTTTTGAAGAAGAAGAAGAAATACATTTCTTAGGTTACAACAAATTTGTACCAAAATGGTGGACAATTCCTCTGAGACTCTTCCAATTCTGGAAGTGAAAAAAGTATGGTAACCATGGTAACAGATTTCCTCTTATTTTTTTTGAAGAAGAAGAAATACATTTCTTAGGTTACAAAATATGGACATACCCTCAACCAATGTGTTTGTTACTGCACTCATGACACTGTTGGCTCGCTCCTTGCGCCCGAATGATGTGTTAAGCTGCTCTACGGAAACCATTAGAGAGCCTGAGAGCTTCTTCTTAATTTCAAGATCAGTGGTTGGCTGTCAAGAGATCAACATTGAGGTTAAACATTACCATCACAACATTGCAGCCAATGACTGGGGGGAAAAAATATCTGCATCACAGTGCTAGTTAAAGAAAGGTTGGTTAGGAGAAGATTTTTTTTCCACATATTTTGCCCAAAGAAACCATTTTTAATTTGAATGCATTAAAGCGGAAACATGCTGGGCTCTCACAATAGAGAAGGTAGGGTGGAGATTCATGGGTATTTGTCATTAGCATTCGGCGATACATATTCCTAACATAAGCATGTGATTAACATGCGATGTTATCAAAATGTTCACTCGTTTGGCCAATTGAAACAGCCAGCTATGTTTTTTGTTTATGTTTTATAAAATATCCAATGCTGGAAAAGCTATGAATTAGTAACTTATTCAAGTTTATCATATTATAAATCTACCATTGTCCTCTGCTCCCCTCCTCCTCTCATCTGAAGCCCCTGCATCTCCAGATTTTAGGAGATCCAGTCAGCATGCATCAGCATGCATTCAGTCAAAGAAGTCAAGAGAGGAAAAGAATAAGTATCATGATCCATTAACATCATGCTGAAGATATGAAGCTGTACCAGACCTCTATAGGATTCATTAAGCTAGCAGACTACTATGCTAACTAACATGTACAAAAAAAAAAAAAAAGAGAAAATATGAAAAGAGAACTGAAGGCTGGAGGGTGGAAGCGGAATCACTTCATGGTTAATTCACATTTACATGAATATAAAATGAAATACAATTACAAAGGATATTAAGTTGACACATATGTTAAAAAATAATTAAATAAATAATGAAGAAAGATTTTGCTTGTGGGGTGAATGTGTAATGAGATGCTAATTTCTACTACTAAGACATACATTACCATTAAAAATGTTGGGGTCAGTAAGATTTTTTTAAAAGAAATTAATACTTTTATTCAGCAAAGATGCATTATATTGATCAAAAGGGAAAATTAAAGACATTTATAATGCTACAAAAGATTTCTATTTCAAATAAATGCTGTTCTATTTAACTTTCCAGTCATCAAAGAATCGCTTCCATAAAGATACTAAGCAGCACAACCATTTTCAACATCGATAATAAAAAATGTTTTAATGCACCAAATCAGCATATTAGAATGATTTCTGAAGGATCATATGACACTGAATGCTGCTGAAAATTCAGTTTTGCCATTGCAGGCAATACATTAAAATAGAAAACAATTATTTAAAATATTATAATATTTCACAGTATTACTGTTTGACTTAACATAAACATAAAAAAATCTTTCCAACCCCAAACGTTTGAATGGTAGTATATGAAAACTCAGTTTCATAAATCTTAGTGGTTCAAATACTGAGGACTATATATAGTTAGCAGCTTGTTCACTAATTTCAAACTGGCGTAGGAGGGCAGCATATCACACAGGCTTTGAAAGCAGTCCTCAACTGAAAGAGAGCTAATTTTAGAGTAAAGTCAAAATAACAATTTCACAAATGCATCAGAAAGAGAAAAAGAGCCAAACAGAGAGAGAGCCAAGGTTCAGGATAATGCCCATGCCTAGACTGATCTACTCTTAAACTTTCTTACGCTGTCGTCAGTGGCTGCCTTATCTATTATCACCTCAGGCAGTAGGCGTCCGCCAGGCCCCGGCCCGATGAGAGAGACCACTCCATTGCAATCCACAGTGCTGTTGCGCTTGCCATAGTATCCAGTGTAGCTGCTGCGACGTTGGGGGCTTAAGAACGAATCGCGCCGCTCGTCGTACTCCTCAACCGTGCTGTGCTCATCATCTGCAAACTCGTTCTCCGAGCCTCCGTCCTTACAGCGGCTGAAGATGCTGCTCTTACTGTTGCGTCTTGAAGGGAATGGTGAGCCTGGGATGCTGAGCAGAGACTGGAGGCAGGAAAGACAGAGAGATTGAAAAGTTGACATCTTTGGTTTTACACACTCTGCTCTTGACAGTCAAATGTTGGACATTAGGCACAGACATTAGGAACGTTTTCAATTACTTCTTAAATGCAACAGGGCCACGAAATGGGTGTATTTTTATTTTTTTTTGGCTTTTCCCACCTAAAAGATCTTAAAAATAAATATGAAACAGTATATGAAAGAAATATAAAAACAGTACAAAAACTGCTTTTTCACAATTCTAACAAAGTTATTTTAAGAATAAAATGACCAAGCAAATATTTTTCATGAATGTTTGATAACTAAGTTAATCACCAACTACAAACTTGTTACAGTTTTTCCTGGTACAGTTTATTTATATATCTGTATTTATTTTCATTAATTTTATTATTAATTGTTCAATTAATTTTTCATATTAATTATATCTAATTTTTGTATATCAAATAAAAAATGATGGTGACAAGGACACAAAAATGTAATATAATAGAAGTTATTAGTTATAAAATAAATAAAACAGTTGTCTGAATATTTTTCTATGCCATTTGTCTTTCACAGACCATTTGTTTGTTTTTAAGACCTTGTTTTGTACAAAAAAAAAAAAACAAGTCATTCTTTACCTGGTTCATTATAGAACTCCTACGTCCTAAGCGGTTGTCAGTGAAACGGAATCTGCTCCTCCTGCTTCCATCATCCGATTCTGATTTGACAAACTTCTCACTGTCCCCTTTCTCCTTGTCCTGCTCTTTCTGCCGCCACTTCTTCTTGCGGTTGCGTCGTTCTTTAGCACTCTTAGAGCTGAGTTTAGACATCTCAGATGAGCTGCAGGACAAGTTCCCACCTCCATCACCATCATCCTCCACCACATCCTCAGACACCGTCCCCGCCGATGTCGCCATGGCGTTTGCCTGCCGTCACAAAATGTATCAATCATTCATTAATCTAAATTACTCTGATTCGGTTTTGATCGTAGTAACAAAATCAAATTTGAAATATAAAAATTCCACAATTAGAAATGAAACATGAAATGTAAAGCAACCACCAAATTACATCAGGCAAACATTACACCATAACACACTTCAAATTATGAAAAATGACCCTTATTATCAGCATTAAAACATTGCCTGACCTGCGCATCCTCCTGATGTTTCTTCAGCTGTTCGAGCATGGCTTTAAACTCCACCTCCTTTCGCTCCGCCTCTTCCATAGTGGCCTGGTTCTGTTCCTCATATGCCATGGCCACCACAGCCAGGATCAGATTCACAAGGTAGAATGAGCCAACAAAGATTACCAGCACAAAGAAAATCATGTATGTTTTCCCCGCTGCTCTCAGGGTCTGTGGATGAGGGACAGATCAGAAGCATCTTATATTACAGAGCATTCATACATCACTATAGAAAATTGTTTGTTTTCCACACACACAGAGAAGAATTTCTAAACATTCCTTAACATAATTTTCAGGGATTTTATCCATACTATTTCACTGATATACATGTGGTAGAGATGTAACTCGCCGGAAAAATGCAAATTTCAATTCATTATTCTGAGCCTCAGTTGCTTCTGTTTGACCTACTTGTGCAAAGAATGCAAATACACATACATATGAATGCTCTGTAATGAGAGCTCATATTGCATTATAGTCCTTCACGTCCGCTGCAATCTCAAAACTCTGGCCATTTGATAATACCTAGAATATCAAAATCAACTGCGGCCGGCAGATCCTTTTCCTATTTAACGCCCAACCTGGCATACACATAATACACTATCACATTTCTATAATTCAAATCCATTAAAGGATTGTTAGGCTGCATTAATTAGTTCAACCGGGAACACTTCCCATAACATCCGATGTACTCGTTACATTGTTAGAAGAATGGCATCTATGCTATGCTAATATCTATGCTCTTTCATTCTTATTCCGAGGTCACCGTAGCCATACGGATCCAGTCATTATCCAGATCAGATGGTCACCGTAGCCACCCAGATCCAGTCCATATCGAGGCCAGATGATGGATCAGCACCTAGAGACGACCTCTACAGCCCTGAATGTCAGCGGAGACCATGTCAACTAGATGCGCCCCAGAGACAGATACCCTGCGAAGACCTCATCACCTTGACGACCAGCGGCGCCTTGAAGACCACGGGCACCAGACAAGTCCTCTGCACCTGTGTTGCAGGCTGGAATTAAACCACACCATGCTGGTTTCATCTGGCCAGAGAAGAACTGGCCCCCCGACTGAGTCTGGTTTCTCCCAAGGTTTTTTTAGGTCCATTTCTGTCACTGATGGAGTTTTTGCCACTGTCGCCTTTGGCTTGGCTTAGTTGGGGACGCTTGACTGACTGATAGCACACTATTGGAAGAGAGCTGAACTGGATGATGACATTACTGAATCATCAATGAACTGACTTTAGCTGGAAAAATTACTCTTTGTTATTGTCTTCTTGCATTATTGACAAACTATCTTCCTGCTTGACACTATAAAGCTGCTTTGACACAATCAGTATTGTATAAAGCGCTATACAAATAAAGGTGACTTGACTTGACATACATTCATACATGTGTTCTTTTAAATAGACTGGCATAAGGCAGCCACTGGCACCCTGAGATGCCTCAATAATATATTTTATTTTGTGATTACACTAGAACAAAGAGTATAAGGATGAGGAAATCCACCCATGATGGGACAAATCTGAAATAGCTGTGTGTGGAGAACTGCACTAATACCAATTATTGCTGCTTTATGGCTATATAACCTATATAACCTCTATGTGCCTAAGGCTCTTTCTGACTAAATGCAAGGACAATATGTAATGTAACAAGCTTCAAATATTTTTCATTAGTAAGAAGAGGATTTTGAAGGAAATAGTATGATACTTTACTTCAGCCAGGACAGGAGAGGTAATCACAGATTTTAGGGGTGCTGAGCTAAAAGACAGGGAGTCTAGATGCCTATGCTTGTACCTACATGTAAGAGTACAGATTCAACTAGGGCTCAGGTTATATTTAGTGTTCTACTATTTAGTCTTCTAGCTGTCCATTACTGCTTCTGATCCCAAAGGGTTCAGTGTGTTTGTGTGCATCCTGCAGAACGAGGGCATACTTATTGTGGCTCATCCTAAACACTTCTCCATGCATGAATTAAAGTTACAGTTAACGAAGCACATTGAACTTATGAAAATGCAACCAATTGCAACATAATAACTGGGAAAAAGAAGTTAGAGAGATCCAGATCATCACAGATGCTAATTACATATCATTTCCTGTTCTTTACATATGTAGTATTAAGTATAAAAGGCATAAGGGTACCTGTTTGGTTTGATTTAGTTTGTTTAATTTACATGCTAAATGCAAATAATTAAATGCAACTATTTAATTGTGCAAAGTTGGATCAGTATAATTTAGCCATTTAAATTTTATTTACATACACAAAATGATTTATTTGCTCAGTAGCAAATTTCAGATTACTGAGAAAAAAAATCTTTAAATGGGACTGAATGTGATGAAAGAAGAAAGACGACGACACCCTTACCAGCTGGTACAAGTTCTCCCAAAAGTCCTGCGTCATGAGGCGGAATAGAGCCAGGAAAGCCCAGCCAAAACTGTCAAAGCTGGTGTACCCATAGTTTGGATTGCGACCAGCCTTCATGCATGTGTAGCCTTCAGGACAGCGACTGAGAGGGGAAAAGAGCACACAGCCCAATAATGACTTGGCACCAGTCTATGGATTAGCATACAACGTTTGTCAGAGAAGAATCTCAGTGAGATCTCAGTAAGTAAATGTTGTTTATATTTTCTAAATGTCTATGTTACATAATTTATAGTTTTGGAATTATGATGTGAAGACGACGACCAGACACTCACCCTGAATCCGAGCTGTTTCCACACAGAAGAGCATCCAGCTGGTCCGGCAGGAAGTAGAAATTGGCTGATGACAAAAAGAGACAGGGAATGTTAACTAGACTATTTTGTACTTTTCAAGCCATTCAAATTATGGCCAATACCGATAAGGCAGATAACTGATAAACATCCAATATTATAATTGAATACTAATATGTATAAATTAAAAATAAAACACTAAAAATTTTACTCAATCATTTAAATGCTACAAGCGAATATGGGCATCACAACATTATAATGTACACGTATAAAAAATGCAGTAATTAAAAAAAATATTTAACAGTGTTAAATGATTAATTTATAAATATTAAATATAAACTAATTAGAAATATACAGTATGTAGTTATATTATAGTTATTAAATATTATAAATGTAGTTAATTCTTTGTTTTTATTCAAGATTAACTTTAAAAGTGAGAGTTACATGGCAGTTAAAGTAATGCAAAATCAACAAACAAATATATTGTGCATACCTAACTATTTTTGTAATTTGTCTGACAAACTAAATAAAAGCTCACTCTTATTCATGATGTACTCATCCCAGTTGAATGCATGGGTGCCATTGGCCTGGTATATTTCTGTGATGTTGATGGGCCAGATGACACACTTTTGTCGCAGATTTCCCATGAAGAGCTGCAGACCAATGAGGGCAAAGACACTGAGGCAGAAAACGGTGAGGATCATCACATCTGACAGCTTCTTCACCGACTGGATCAAAGCGCCAACAATGGTCTTCAGACCTTTGAGATATTGAATATGCACACACATACACGCCCAAATATGCACACACGCACACAAACACACACACACAAAAAGGAACAGACAGTTGCATGTGTGTTCAAGTCCCAGAAGTGTATAAATGGAGTCTCAAGGCATGATGTGAGGAATTCACATTTTTTTTAGATGTGAGGCTATCTTGATGTTTCATGTAAATGTCTTGTATACCTATTATGTAGATCTGTGGTTCTCAACTGGTGGTGTGCAGGTATGTTCTGATTGCAGGGAAATGCAAATGTAAGCTGAATGCAATTTATACAGTAAATATGTTACTTTTTAAAAGAGGGAGAAAACATTTCCTATATCTTTTGTTGTTGATATTGTAGGCCAAGCATCCAATAAAACTCAAAAACCATCTGTTACTTGGTACAATCTAGCCAATTTAGAGCGATGGCAACATGAACATGATGCTTGACATGCCTTCATCATAAACATGGTTTTTGGCCTAATGAGTTTTGTATGATAAATTACTGGCTGCCGAGAGTATGAAACCAATTTTGCATGTTTGTAAATGTAAATCTGGCTCCTGAAACCAAACCAGTTGAGAACCACTGATATGGATGCTTAAGGGTGCACTTCAGCATAATTAATGTTTTTAATTATTCATTATTAATTTTTCATAATATCATACCTTGAATCCTTATTTTAATTCAGAATGACAATGTATAAATAACAGAACCACAAAATACACTAAGTTTCTTTACACACATACTGCTTGGGAGCCATCCCATCATTTGGACTATTCAGATGAATAACTTACTATTCTGCTTAAACGTGGTTTCAATAAATGCCTACAACAGATAATATATTATTTCAGGAAATGCAAAAATCAGTCCTGAAACATTTTTGAATTCCAGCACTCCAAAACAGAAGTTTAAGGTTCTCAAAGGATAACCTTCAAGGAATTTTCTTGACAATAAAGGGAGGGCTCCCTCAAACAGTGAGAACAGCCTGACATCCCATGACATAGAGAGAATAAAGCAAGCAGGTAAAGCAAGCAGGGACTAGGGGGTGAAGATTGCATGCAGGTCATTTCAGCTCGAAGGCTGAACAGAAACAATTCCAGTGTAAATCTTCCAATCTTCCAAGGCTCCACCAGACATGCTGAGCTAAACATCATCAGAACTGCACTGACCCCTCCATAACTCCCTCTCAATTACAAAAGAGCTGCTTTACCTTCAAGACAGTAGACACTCAAATTAGTATTGATATGCTACAATCCTCTTGCCCATAAACCAGACCAAAACATCAAAAACTCTTGCAGGGCTCAGAGACTTGATGAGTAGGCTTTAGTTCATAGCCTTACTGAAAATAACACAGGATGACAAATATGACTTGCAGTAAAACTTTTATCAGCTAAATAAATCCTGTTATTTCACTGAAAATTACTTGCATATGATACTAATGTGTCAAGACATTAAGCTAAAGGTCTGGCATTTTTGCAAGGCCTCTGAAGGAAATAAAAACAACTGCACAGGTACAATGAAAAAAAAAATCTGAAACAGACAAAAAACATTCTTCCTTAACCATCTGCACTATTCTTATTTTATTTCCAGGTGCAATTTGTGAGTTTCATACAAAATAAAGGAAAAAAGTGAAGAAAAATGATTAGTCAATAAATAAATAAATAAATAAATAGATTAAAAAAAATATGGCGGCCAAGCACTTAGTAGGCTAATACTATAAAAGCATGTGAATTCCAAAGCATCATGCAGTATAAAATATGTCCACAAACTAGGCTTGGCAGTCTTCATAAGTAAGTATCAAGTATATTCTTTGGGAACTCACTGAGAGCCATGCAATTTTCATTTTGGGGAATAAAACATAGCTTGTTAAAAATATATACTCTAGTGCTCTGAGGGCAGGGGCTAGTTTGTAAAGGTCTATTTGTTTCCTAATATATATTAATCACCAAAATGAATGTGTTCATACCTATACCATACCTATACCTCATACCATAGTTTTTTAGACTGTGTACCCCTGAAACATACAAGCTCACATACTAGTGAATTCTACAATTAGCTTTTATCTAAAGTCCTTACTGTTAAAATCTGAAATAAAATTTGCCTTTTGTAACACAAAGATCTGCTTTAGCAAGACCTCAACAACAAACCTACAAATAATATAGTAGCTTGAGTTCAACCCAGTTCAGGGTTTGTTCACAGATACGTTTATTGCCTACATGAAAGAGGTTACAGAGGTTCGGTTGCTAAAGCTTTCTAATCTGCTCTGAAGTTTCTAAAGGGGCAAAAGGGTGTCGAAACCAAAGGACTCTGGAGATTGATAGTAGACTGCAAAGCCTATCAAAAATGTGTAAGTACCATTTTTGATCATTTTGGAGATTGGAAAAAAGCACATTAAATGGTCCTCTCCAAATAAATTTCTGCTAAAAAAAAATAAAGAAAAGTCCAAAAAAAAAAAAAAGATTTAAAATTGAATAGTAATAGGGGGTCACACTGAAAGTTAACCTCAGCGTCAAAACTGCGTCTCACCTGGAATGACAGAGATAGTTTTCAATGCTCGGAGAACTCTGAATGTTCTCAGCGCAGATACATTCCCCAGGTCCACAAACTCTGTTACATATCTGAAATAAGGGAGGATCACACACAGACACCAATGACAACCACAAACACACCAAGAACACCACCACGCCAACGAACCACTAGGAGGTACGCCACTCACAGAGCCTGTCCACTACGAGGGGGAAGGAAGGAAAAGAAAACCAAGATACACACACGTACACCTAACACCGACCCCTCCCGCCCACACACTCTCTTACCTGGGATTACAGATTACTTATTTTTTATGATTTGATATTAACCGAATGATAGCTCACAAATCAGACAAGGTTCATAATTACATAAATGACAGAATACTTACGCCATTGAGATGACCATGAAATCCAGCCAGTTCCATGGATCTCTAAGGAATGTGAAATCATCTATACAGAATCCACGGGCAATGATTTTTACAGTTGATTCAAATGTATAAATTCCAGTGAAGGTATACCTGAAGGAAAGAGCAAAAGTAACTGGATAAAAAAAATGGAACTAAAATCTGCTTTATATTTTTAATGTGTATATTTATTTACATTTTGTGTGGCAATGGCTTGTTATGAGGCAAGCTGTGGTTAGGATCAATACTTACTCTACTTGTTTGGACCACTCAGGAGGATTACTAAAAGTCATGAACACACAGTTGGTCAAAATCGTACACATAATGAACATGCTGAATACTGTGGGTATCAGTTAAGGAAATTCTGAGATATTACACAACAAAACAAAAGCATTTTACTTTGTAAAAATAAATATCAGGACACTCAATAACAGAATGCCAAATACAGACAGAAAATAGTGAATTGTGGCTAGTTGTAAAGCACTGCCCGGGCTAGGCAATATTTATATTTCAATATCTTTTTTTTTTTGTAGCTTTATTACAATATTTAATATACATCTATATATTGAACCAAACAGCCACTTTTGCAAAGTAGATTAAAATGTTTAATGCAAGAGGTATAACATTTGCATATTTACAGTATCAGACAAACACTTATTTAACAAAACTGAATATATAATATTAACAAAATTATATATAAAAATATCATATAAAATATCATATACTGTAACAACAAATAACACGTTGGAATGATTTCAGTATTCACAAAAAAAAAACGGTAATAAATTGTGTATATTCAATAAATCGCCCAGCTCTAGCCCTTAGATCATAACAGGGAGTTTTCAGCTCATTTGTGACCATGGAGCACAAAACCAGTCATAAGGGTCAATTTTTCGAAATTGAGATTTATACATCATCTGAAAGATGAATAAATAATCTTTCCATTGGTGTATGGTTTGTTAGGATAGGACAATATTTGGTCGAGATACAACTATTTGAAAATCTGGAATCTGAGGGTGCAAAAAAAATCGAAATATTGAGAAAATCGCCTTTAAAGTTGTCCAAATGACGTTCTTAGCAATGCATATTACTAATCAAAAATTAAGTTTTGATATATTTACAGTAGGAAATTTACAAAATATCTTTATGGAACATGATCTTTACTTAATGTCCTAATGATTTTTGGGATAAAAGAAAAATCAAAAATTTTGACCCATACAATGTATTTTTGGCTATTGCTATAAATATACCCCAGCGACTTAAGACTGCTTTTGTGCTCCAGGGTCACATTTGTGTCATTTATGTAGGCAGTTAAAATGTTTTTGTTTGGACTACAACTACATTAACCATCAAATTAGTCAAACAGTCCTCGCAGGACAGGGCATAGCATTACAGTTCAAATCTCATTGATATATGTTTGAACATTTTTGTTTTCATTCAGCTCAATATTAACAGCAATGGCTCTGTCTGTATTTGTTTTATGAATGAGCTGCAAGTTAATGTGGCATGACTGACATCACAATCTGAATATATGGTTGGAGAGAAAGCACATTTTTAAATTGTGCTATATTGGCCAATAGGGAGACTGCTGCTGCACGGCATACGTTCTTGGCCATGGGTTTCAGCATCAAAACAGGACACAATATGCTGAAAACAGGCGACAGAGCTCCACCATTTTCTCTCTCTATTTGGCATCTCTACTGTCAAATAAAACAGTTGCCGTGCATCTAAAATTCACACCTACATCTACACCCACTGATATGCTGTTACAGTCCCACAGTGGAACACTGCTTAACTACAACATATTAGTCTGAATCCTAAGCGTTATTCTGGACTTTCCCATGCACTCTAGCAATAAGCAGACATATTACATATTTGATGCAGAGAAAGACAATATAGACATTTATCACATACATTAAACAACTGAAAAAGGATATGAATGTATCAAAATTTTAATCGCTATTCGCCTTGCGAGATTAAAAGGACTTATCATGTACAAGGAAGATGTGGCACTAAAGCGGAAGATTGTTTTCCCTTTATTTAGGACTATAAACGTCTGTGGAGAGGAAAAAAGAGAACAAGCCAGAGAGAAGACAAAGACAGAACAACAAAAAAGAGAAACACTAGATTAGTTACAAGCAGAGAGATGCATCATCACTTATTCAAATGGACTTAAAGAAGTAATAATCTCATACTGAAAACCTGCGTCTGTTTCTAGAGGACACGGCATCATGATGAAGACATACTGCTTTATATGCTACTAAATAATTATAATCAAATTCTGCATGCAAAACATCCATATTGTCTTCGGAGCACAATAAAATGGTAGAAGATTATATAACTATATTTGTACAATTATCTCTGGTTCTGAAATTTGATTTGTTGAGAGTGCCTCTAATTTAGTCCAACAGAGTGTTATGAATATCAGTGTGGCTGTGATTTGGACATAAGCATGAGGCCGCAGGATTTTTCAATGAAATAATTTGCCCAACAATGAAAAATCTGTCATCAAATTCTGCTGTTTCTAAACAGCAGCATAAAAGTTGCATTTCTGCCACCTATTGGACTGGAGTGTGGCACACTGAAGCACAACGGAATCCACCATGATTTTACTGTCAATACTGCTTAGATATTGGGTTGTTTTTCACCAAAACTTTATCAAAAATTATCAATGAGCTGTTTGTACTTTTTTGCTGACACTCTTTGGTGTTTTATTAAGTCACAATGTACTGCCATTGTATTGAATTCACCCAACCAGATATTCATTGAATTAAATCCTTTTGTTTTCTGCCAAAAGCTGAAAAAAAGTCATAAAGGTCAGCAATGACATGATAACCCTTGAATAAGCAGCAATATTAAAGTCACATATAGGTTTGAGAATATAGAAACAGTACTGAATTCTGTTTTGTAACTTTAATATACAATAGAATTTACCGCCAAATAAATTAGAATGTCGTGGAAAAGTTAATTTCAGTAATTCAACTCAAATTGTGAAACTCGTGTATTAAATAAATTCAATGCGCACAGACTGAAGTAGTTTAAGTCTTTTTGTTCTTTTAATTGTGATGATTTTGGCTCACATTTAACAAAAACCCACCAATTCACTATCTCAACAAATTAGAATATGGTGACATGCCAATCAGCTAATCAACTCAAAACACCTGCAAAGGTTTCCTGAGCCTTCAAAATGGTCTCTCAGTTTGGTTCACTAGGCTACACAATCATGGGGAAGACTGCTGATCTGACAGTTGTCCAGAAGACAATCATTGACACCCTTCACAAGGAGGGTAAGCCACAAACATTCATTGCCAAAGAAGCTGGCTGTTCACAGAGTGCTGTATCCAAGCATGTTAACAGAAAGTTGAGTGGAAGGAAAAAGTGTGGAAGAAAAAGATGCACAACCAACCGAGAGAACCGCAGCCTTATGAGGATTGTCAAGCAAAATCGATTCAAGAATTTGAGTGAACTTCACAAGGAATGAACTGAGGCTGGGGTCAAGGCATCAAGAGCCACCACACACAGACGTGTCAAGGAATTTGGCTACAGTTGTCGTATTCCTCTTGTTAAGCCACTCCTGAACCACAGACAAAGTCAGAGACGTCTTACCTGGGCTAAGGAGAAGAAGTCCTCTTTTCAGATGTGATGCACCTGTATGTATATATATCTTGGTTTTACCCGGATACCTCACTTCTCACTACTGACTGAATCTGAGAAGTCTGAATTTATATGACACCATGAACGCGTCAGTGTAAGCTCACCAGCCTTTCAGTAGATAACCTCATAATTGTTTAAATAAAACATGCTCGCTACCATCAAAGTTTCATGGGAGGTCGTGAACATTTGCAGAGATGGGATGCACCCCTGCACTTCCTTTTACATGCTTGAGTTTAGTGGAACGCTAAGGCTACGTTCACACTGCAAGCCTTAGTGCTCAATTCCAATTTTTTCTCAATCCGATTTTTTTGTGTAGCTGTTCACATTGTTGTTTTAAATGTGGCCAATATCAGTTTTACAGTGTGAGCAGATCATTCTGAACTGACCCACATGCGCAAAAGAACAATATGAACAGGGTTTCCAGGTTTACACAACAAAATCCGCCCAATTGCTTCTTAAAACTAGTCCAAAACTAGCACAACCATGTTCAGGGGGATAAATATCGCATTAGTGGGGTCGCATCGACCCACGAAGTTGAAAAACAACTGGGAAACTGTGGATTTGGCAACACTTGCGCAGCACGCTGTCATACGGAAGTAAACATGGAGGACATAAAGTAAGCGATTATGCGTTTATTTATAGTGTAATCTGCTGCTGAATCCGGCGAAATTATGTGCAGGCGTTATGAAAAATAAAGACAAGGATGTGACAAAATAGATAGTTTGTATACAGAGTATACAGACTGTAATTCTTATGAGTTCTGACACATTTCACTTCCACTGATTACCTTTCACAACTGTCTTGATAACTTTGGGTAAAATTCTTTGAAGTGTCTCCAGTCAGCGCGGAATTATGACGAATGTCGATCTAGAGTGAAGTAAAAGTCGCATGAAATCCGACATGACTGTTCACACTGCGTTCGCATTTCAAGACATCTGACATGTATCGGATTTAGTACCACATATGGAAGTGGCACAAATCAGAATTGAAAAGATCAGATTCCATGCGGTTTGTGCTGTTCACACTGTCATGACAAAAACAGATCAGAGTAACACGTGAGCAAAAAAATTGGATTTGGGCCACATTTACCTGCAGTGTGAACGTAGCCTAAGAAACCCTCTTCAGCACCACGGAGAGCGCCAATCAACGCAGCCCTGTTTCATCAGATGCAGATTCTGCTTCATGCATGTAGAAACTCCAAATTTGGTCCACAATGACAAATTAGGTTAAAGAAGCACAGCTCAGTAAATAACACATTGAATATGTAACTAAAGACGGAGAAGAGCTGGATCTATTTGGGTCAGACCGAATCAGGCCACCATGTAAACCACCTACTGAGACTCTCTCTCTCTTCCTTCGGCTTGCTCCCTTTTTATCAGTGGTCACCACAGCGGAGTGATCCACACAACCGATTTGGCACGTTTTGCGCCGGACAAACCACATACCGAGACCTGCTTAGTCAAAAAATGATCTGCTCAACCCCAACAGTGTGCGAGACATCACACTTTGTTCAAAACAGGAGAAGAATCATTCAAACCATCAGCCCAAACTCAGCCACATATGAAACATGAGATGAAGAAATAATGCAGAAGTGGTGCATATACGAACAAAAATACATTTGCCCTTTCTCAGTATTTGCTTGCTATAGTACAGGCACACACACAAGAGAAGTGCATGTGGGTTTCCTTTTTTAATGCATGACAGGCTGCACAGCTACTGAAAATTTCATAATCCATAATGGAGAAGCAAAAAGACATGGAGAGATAAAGAGACAGATAAAGACAGCCCTGAGAGGAATGAGTAAGCAGTGAGAAGAAGGGAGGGAGGTGGAGAAAGAAAAGGGCAACAAAATACAAAGAGCAAAAGCTATAAAAAGCTGTACATAATGTCCTTCAAATCAGCAGCTACGGTAAAAAAAGAAAAAAGGGGGGAAATAATACTGATGGAAATGCACCACGAAATAGCATTTGTTCATAAAACGAAAAAATGTAATTAATAAAATCTAAATCCTCTACTGATCCGAGGCTGCAACATTTATTCATTATTTTGATTTAAAATCCAAACGTTGTTACTGAAAAAGCTTTTTCAGCATTGTGATCTTCTTTTATCACAGTACAGTAACTATCGTTCATAGACATTACTTTAAACTCAATAAATATAAACAATGAGGTTTGTACAAGTCGCTCAAGCAAGTGGCAACACATTTAAACACAGTATTTAGCCTACATTTCTTGTTTAAAGTAGGCTATCACAAACATTTTAAATTAAAACTCACCACTGACAGAAACAGTCGACTCTCGTGCGTTTTCTTTTGCATTTAAATCTTTATTACAAGCAATCCCGTGGGTCTTAAAGAACTTTGTTTTTCTACCTCCACAAGTGCATCTATTATGTTGCCTTGTTTATCTAAAAGAGCCCTTTTCCTTGTTTTAAACCTAGCCAAAAAGCCACATGTTGACTGTGAAACAAAGTAGACTAATTATATCAATCTATTGTGAAATTACTACATTTTGTTATCAATCCATGTTCATTTTTACTGCAAACAATGCACTGTCACTTTAATTCAGCGCGTGCAGCACAGCAAAAATAGAATTGGTGCGTAAACGATCGCTGCACTGCTGCAGACGCGCCGGTCCTGGAACGCACTGACGGACCGCAACTGCATGCAGTGTGAACGCTCTAATCCGTTAACATGGGTGCATAAAAAAAAACGCAACATACGCATTGCAGATGGAGTATGTGTGAAACAGGCGTGAAGCTTAAAAATATCAGGGTGTCACAGAGTCAAAACATCCACAGCACCAGGCCCCTACACTCCACCTACTCGTTCACAGTCACCAGATTTCTGATCACCTGCACCTGTCACATCCAATCAGCACAGACTATATTAACCGCTCACCTCTCACTGTTCACTGTTGTCTGGTCTTGTTGTTTCTTCCTGAATGCTACCCGACCTCTTACCTGCATGGACTTAACTTCTTCCGTTTGATATTCATCTGCATCCAACCTCTGGATCTGGCTCACCAACACCAGTTCATCCAAAACTACAAAGATAAGACTGTTATTCACTGAACTATCTCAGCATTGCTCTGTTGAACAATCACTCACCTGCTATCCACGTGTATATGTCAAAACCTACAATAAACCTGTTGTTTGGATTACCTTGTTGCATTCTTCCGTTTTATGACAGAAGACTACACCACAACATGCAACGTGAAGCCACTTCCAGTGATGCATACAACTGACAAGTGACCTACTCAGGAGAGGCAGAGGATTGCAGCAGATTCCTGCTACAATGCTCTCTATTTTTTTAAATGCAGCTGCAGCTGTTCGCCAACAATCGTGCCAAGATCGCATACATTACTTCCGTTATCTGGATGAGCTTTGCAGTGGGCACGTGTT